TAGAAGGGACAACACGCGCCTAGTTGAGCCAAGGGTGGCCAATTTTTGTGTGTGTCTCTCCCACACATGAGATAGAGAAGAGCGAAGCGAAACAAAACTCAAAATTGAATTTCGCCTGCATTAATTATGCAGAAGGAACAAGTTGCCCTTTTGGGCCAAGCTGTGGACTGGGCAAGTGGGCTGTGGGGGCTGTGGGGGCTGTCAGCTGTTTGTGTACATGTACATGACAAGTGCTCGGTTAATGTTTGCCCAGGCCAAAAGTAAAACGAGCCAAATGTGGCAAGTAAGCTTAAAGAGCATGGCCGAATACGCTGTCAGCTATGCGAGGCCTTTAAATTCGTCTCTAACCTGACCCAACTTTAATACTGAATGAGATTATCATATTATAGACATATTTAAACGAGTTGGCATTTGTTTAGAATTATAAATGAGATATTGAAGAACTCACATACCAAATTTAATATCTCTAGTTCTTATAGGCCCTGACTTCTAGACGGATTAACTTTATAGGGCCATTTTGGCTTGTTTTCTGAGAATATGCAATCGAATATTCACTTTGCTTACAATTCTATTTATAACTGAGCCTAATATGGCTACAATTTATAGTAGCCCCATCTTCTGCTTATTACTTATTTAATAAGCAATTAAATGCCAAATGTGAAAACTCTATCTAATATATATATAACTAAGACTGTGCATCCTTCCAACTCTTGTATTTCATTTAGAATCTCCAAAGGTCACAAAAAGCTACGTTAGCAATTTAAAAGATATAGCACATAAATATGCTTAAGTTCAGCAAAGGTTTACTCTATGTAGTCGCGGATTCGCCCCTTTTCCACCCTTCAAAGTGAAACTAAGAAGCTACCTACTAAACTTAAAAGCTCTTGCTCCTGTTGCGAATAGCTGGAAGTGCACTCGCATATACCAAATTTAATACGTTTTTCATTTGCAGCTCCTGTGCTCTACCTAGTATATGGCTATAAACGTATTTTATTGGGGCTGTACGTGCAATTTCTCAGCTGCTGGCGAGCCTGGCACAACTTTATGATACCCTTTTTTATGTGTTGTTTTTTTTTTTTTGATACTTTTTTGGCTGCACTGCTACTTGTTGTTTATGCATAACCGCCACGCCCCCCTCCATCCCTAGGCCCACTGAAAATCATCTCAGCTGACACAGTTTTCCGTGCTCATTATGCTTGAAGGTTGTTGCCCGTTTCTTTGCGCACTTTTTTTTAAGTTTTGCTTGTTTTTAGTTATTCCGCAGCTGTTTTTTGTTGTTTTCATTAAGAGCACAGAGCATTTTCTTGTTGTTTGGCTTTGTTTCTATTTTTTTCTTTTTTTTTTTACCAAGTTTTGCGCTTGACTAACAAAACTTTAAACTGCTGCAAGCTGCAAATTAAACTTCTGAGCGCTTTCACCTCTTCGACAAGAAGAAAGCAAAGAAAAACTCTATAAAACATTTTAGCTGCTCGATATTAACTTTGCGTAAAGCGCTTTTATGTGAGCATTTGCATATTTCATATTTGCCAGAGGAATAGTTGTGGGCGGGGCCAGAAGGGCAGACGCTTTGCCATATATCACAAATGGTGTCAAGCATACGCCGTGTTGCCCAGCCAGCAGCAGCTGCAAATGTTGCAACAGTTGCCACTGTTGCTGCTGCTACTGCTGCTGCTGCAGCAAATGCAAATTTAATGCGAAAAATATTAAAGTCAGCGCCATTAAGCGGACTGCAAAAGGCAGCTGCTGCCTTTTGCTGCTGCTGCTGCTGTTGCTGCTGTTGCAGGTGCCAGCATTCGGCTGGTGGCACGTTCAAAAGACATCATTTAAATTCATACATGACCCACATTGCAGCATCAACTGCATGGGCCCAATGCCTCGCCTTGCCTCGCCTCGCCTCGCCTCGCCCGCTGCTCATGTTTTATTAACAAAGCAATTTATTGCATAAAATTCGCACAGTTGCAGCCGCAGTTGCAACAGTTTATCGATTGCCCGTAAGTTTTGGGGCCGCATTTAACGAGGCCAGCGGCCAACAGCCAAGAGCAAAGAGCCATGGCCAAAAGCTGGCGTCTAAGTAAGCGTAAGCCGTAAAAATGAAAATGCGATTCGGTGGCAGTTTGTTCGCTGAAAAGTAGGCAACAAATGTGGCCCAAAAGTGCAGCAGGCGGCAACATGGCAATTAAAGTTGCAATAGCCACACGTGAGCAACAGCTCGACTGCAGCAAACCGCCAGCCAGTGAGGCGTGGCACGCCCACTAACAACGCCCCGCTACTAATTGCTGCATAAATCAAGCGGCAACAACGACAGCAAGATCCGAAGCGAATGGGTGGGCACGGCCATGGGGGCAGGCGAAGCTGGCTAAAAGGGCGTTTGAAAAACGTTTTAAATAAACTGTGCAGCCAGATGAAGAAGAACAAGCAGCAAGTGGCAAGTGGCAAATGGGCGAGCAGCAAGGATATGTGGGGCACAGCCCCAAAGCAAGCAAAAAGCAACACACACAAAAAAAAAACTGGCGAGCATTTTGTTATGCTTTATGAGCCACTTTTGGCCAAATGATTTGTGTATACAAATGCGCAAATGCAGCAAATGGGTGTCTGTATAGTGTATATGTATGTGTGCCGCACACACACAAACACACACACGGACAATTTATGTGCGCCATAAAAATTGCGGGCCGCAGTGCGTATACGCAATAATACAATTTTTCCAAACGCCGTAAATATTTTAATTAAATTGCGCAGCAAACGCGTGAAAAACGCAAAGGAAAGCGAAGAGAAAACGCAGAAACGAGAACAAAAAATAAAAACCAAAAACGAAATACAAAATTTTTGGCCATAAGCGCATTTAATGTTTAATTTGTATTGTATTTTGTTTCGGCTTCCTTTTTTTCTCTCTCATTCTGTGTGTGTATTTTTTCGTTAAAGTTGTTAAGCCGGCGGCTTGTGTGCTTTCAATTTGCCCCTGTATGAGGGTGTGTGTGTGAGTGTGAGTATGTTTGTGTATGTGTGTGTGTGATTGTGTTCTTGTGTGTGTCCAAAACAAATTACAATACATTCGCGCTAGCTTTGGGCGCGCTTTACTGCTGTCTAAAAATAAAAGGTATATTTAATTAGATGCCGCGTTTCTATACCCTGTTTTTTTTTTTATGCCAACATGCGGTGGACTTTGCGCTAATGTTTTATTAATGCGATTCAATTTGGGAAGCTGCATTTACCTAAGCTGTAAATGGCAGAGCATGAAAGCTATAAGAATAACATGTTATGTTTCGACATGGGAAGCTTCTTTTTATTTATGATTTTTATTAATTTCTTGTATGTTTCTGCCAATTTGAAATTTTGGAATGTGCATTTGCACATTCAAGAAAGGGAAAAGAAATTGAATATAAGGCACAGCTAAAATATTCAGAAAATCTAATGCCAATTTATATAAAATATCTATATTAGCAATCATTCAATAAAGAACCCAATGCGAATTCTATAAGAAGAGCCTAGATAGAGCCTAATTCATTCACAAGATCTTGTGTGGCAAAAGAAGAGCAAAAGTAGTTAAGACTAAATGGCTGCAATCCGAACAAAGGGATATTGATTAGGAACAGCTTAGTTGACAAAAACCTAATTTATTTTAAAAACTATTTACATGCATTCACAATCATTCATACATGCACTTTAAGAAGTGTGTCATAGGGAACAAACCTTATCTAATGAAACCCAAACCAAATTCAAATTCATAAGCTAAAAATTATTTATGCAATAAATGCGATTTGTACAAAAGAAGCTCGGCTTACCCCAACGAGCGGCGCTGCAGGGTATAAAAGCTAGAAACTCGATAAGAGAATGCAAAAGCAAGAATTTGAGTTAATCCACAGCGTTTGCAAAGTGGTGCAGAATTGTGGTTGCGCAACCTTAAGCAGAGAAAATTAGTTTCTCGAGTCGATAGAGATGCAGATAAAAATGCTGATGATGATAATGATGCCTGCTATTTGTGCTAAAGGTCAACTCTTCAGCAGCAGGTATATTCATTTATTGAGCCAAGTTCGTTGTGGTTGGAAGGGAGAGGGTGAGGGAATGGGGCAACGAATTCTCAGTATATCTCATGGCCAAGCAGCTGCGACTAAACCGCTTACTTAATGGCCAAAATGCGAAAGACAGACAGACAGCTTCTCGTGCTTGGCATTTAGCGAACCGCAGGTTGGGTTTCGAACAAGTGTCTCGGTCATAGTCGCATTTTGTACATACTTATAAAGATAAACGTAAACATGTTAGCATTTCATAACGCGTGAACAAATTCAATTAAGTTGCCACAAGCTACCGAGTCCTTGGGATCTGAGACCAGCTTCCAGCTCCCTGACTTGCTCGTCCTTTGTCTTCTGCTGTTTTTATGGGACAAAGCAAACGGCGACAAAATTAAAGTAAATAAACAAGCGTCGAGTGCGGCAGCCTCTGTGCGAGGACAATTGGCATTGGTCACAGTTTGTTGTGCCTTTGTGTCTCTGTCTGTGACTGTTTCTGTGTGTGTGTGTGCGCGGTTGAGTGTGCTTCGATGTTTTTGTTGCGCTGCCCAAATAAACCGCAAAAGCCACACTGACGGCACAAAAGCCACAACACTCGCAACAGTCAACCACTGGGGCTCGCTGTCAGACAATGGCCATATAAATGTGTCCCCAGTGTATGTAGGGGTGGGCGAGGGGCGTATGCTCATTGTGCCACGCCCACAAGCACTCTACCCACCTCACTCTGGCCACTTCACAGTGGCCATTGTATGCGCTGCTTGTCAAGGACATGGCAGTCGCATAATTTTCAATGCAAATCGTTGCCATTTGTTGCGCCGCACAAAGACGGGCAACAGTTCTCTCAGCTACTCCCTGGGGTTAGGGAAGGGAGGGGAGTTGCCACAAAAGCAGGCAACAGCTTTTAACTTTGTTTTTTGTGTGTTTATTGTTTACCTTAGGGAATTGTGCTCGAAATGCCTTATTTAACTTTCGCTTCTTGTCTGTTCTTTGCAGATACACGATGATCTAGAAAGCGATCCGAACTCTTCTGGCTCTGGCTTTGGACCCGATGACGAGGACGCCGACGTAACCGATCGTCATTCGAGCTCACACAATACGCGTGTGCAGAACGTGGCCAATACAAATAGTAAGCATAATACGAACGACTACGACGACAACAACGACCTCATCTCGAGTAGAGTCAACCATCATAATCAAATCGACATCAACAACAAGAACAATATCAATAATAATAACAATAACAATATCAATAATAATAACAATCATCAAGCGAATAGTGGCACAATCATTGGTAGTAGCACCAACAACAACAACAACAACAACCAGAACCTGAACCTGAACCAGAACCAGAACCTGAATCAGAACCAGAATCAGAACAACAACGGCATCATCAGCAGTGGCACAATCGGTAAAGATCAAGCTAGACTAACTACAACAAACATAGCCAATGCCCACGTTAATTCATCTAATTCCAATAACCAATTCACAAACACAACAATCACAGAAACAACAACAACAACAACAACAACCACTTCCAATAAATCCAATTTGAACACCTCAAACCTAGCGCCCCTTTCAGATAAACAGACAAAGCCAACAATAACTTTAATTAGTTACAACAACAGCCACAGCAACAACAACGCGAACAACAACCACCACGACAACAACAACAACAACAACAACCGTCATATTATTGCCATTAATAATAACTTACACACAACAACAACAACATCTTTATATCCAGCAGCTAACACGCCAACACCAACAACACCAACAACAACCACAACAACACAAACAACAACAACCACAAGCACCACCACCATCAAACCCCAAATCAACAATGCGCCCACTGTCATCTCCTCAGCAGCGGAGCCAACTGGCACCACGAACTCCACAACCATATCCAGCACACCCTCAACTCCTGCCATTAATCAGTCCACGCCCACAATTGCAACGGGTCGGCAGCCGGTGTTGCCCGATCGGGATGAGGATGATTCCTTTGATCTGGATGACACGCAGGCGGGCAGCGGCGATGGTGAAGATGACGACGATGATGACAATACTGATGATAATGATGATGATAATGGTGATGATGATGATGCCGAGGATGATGACGATCAGTTAGTTGATCCACATCCCGAGAGCGAAATCAGCCAAACGAGACACACAAATCTGGACAAGTCCAATGTGGACACAAATGAACGCAAGCCCGTTGTGGATGATGACGAGGATGGCGACGATGGGCGACTCATCGATTTGGATGACAATGTGGATGAGGACGATGTCTACACAGAGATCAGTGTCAACAAGGATGTGACCCACACAGCCGGCGGATGTCAGTGGTTCTTTCATTTTGATTTTGTTTATTTGACATCTTCTTCTTATTCTTCTTGTTTTTCTGTTGTATTTTATTGTGTTTTACTTTGTATTCACATATCCTTTGTGCTTTTTGCTTTGTTATCGTTGCGTTTCCTTTTGTTTATCTTGCTTTATACATTGTTGCTTTTGTCTATCTATTTACTATTTACTTTTATGTTCTGTGCTTTGTTTGTTTGTCTATTTTATGCTTTAAGTTTATGCTTTGAGGCATGTTTCGGGTGTGCCACAAAAATCAGTCGACTGCCGGCTACACTGCGCCAAAAGATTGGCTTTAAAGTGGGCTACGAAATGTCGTCCAATTGGATCAAAATTTGAACAACTTGGCAGAATCTTAGCCCAGCTGCAAGCCTACAATATTTTTTGGCAAATTACAGTTTATATATTTTAGCTATGCCATTTTCTTGCAGTGTAGCTGATGCGTGCGACTGGCTTTTGTGGCTTTTCGGCTACCAATTTGGCAAAACTTTTGACAGCAATGACGTCACATTTGCCAATTGAATTGCATACCTTGCGGGGCTTGCATAAAATTTGCATTTGACACTGCCATTGCCATTGTTGTCGGTTTTGTTGGTGGCCGTATTTATTTATTTATTTAGCAAATTGCTTTGCTTTATTGATTATCTTGTTATGCAGCTTAATTAATTTTACAAGCACTTATTGTCTTCCGTTTCCATATAATTATTATGTATTCCCTTTGTTATTATGCACACACTCAATATATATGTATTTGTATCTATATTAACCCCTTGGGCAGCTTATTTATTTTGTAAGTCGTATATTTGGTGCTTTTATTTGATTGACAATTTAATTTCGAGTACACATTGAGTTTAGTTTTAGAGGTCATCACGGCTGCTGCAAACTTTCTCTACAACTTTCTCTCGTCTCTACGCGTTGTCCTTTGTCTCGGGTCTAGTTTCTCTCCACACATAATCCTAGCATCAACTAAATGTACATCCAACAAAGTTACAATTTTCAGCTATTTTCCAGATCAACTTTCACATATATATATCAATCATATCATTTGTCACATTCATGCCCACATTCATTAACTCATTCTTGCACTTTTGGCTGCTTAAAGCTGGCCCAAGGCTTTTAGCTTTAGATTGGGTTCGAATTTTTGCTATTTTAAATTGAAAGTTCGGAGATTAATTAATGACTATTGCTGTCATTTGAGCTGATAAGTCCGAAAAACAAACAAACAAACGATTTGAGTGGGCTGCTCCCTTAACCCCAGCTGGCTATAAGAAAAGCCACTCAATCAACGGCTGCCATTTTGCTGGCTTTTCGAGCCGCACAACACGCTTCCCAATTGTGTGTTGTAAAGTTCCATTAACACACACAATCACACACACACACACACACACACACACACAGACAGGCCCTAAGCATTAGATTTACTGTCTGAACTTCTACAGCGTCGAACTTCTGAAGGTACTCGGTAAGCTGCGCTGTGATTTTCCACTGGCAACGAGTGGAAAACACTTTACATGAAAAATCACGGCTGTCCCAGTATTGGACCAGAGTGGGGGTGGGTTGGGGTAGGGTAACACGTTGGCAAAGCAACCCGGCGATCTGTTAACCATTCCGCCAACGCCCTTGGAGTTCGCTTTGTGAGCCGCTTACTTGTGAGGCAGTTGCCACATTGTTTGTTGCTCATACGACGCATTGGCGTTTACAGCCTGTGTGTGTCTCTGTATGTGACTTGGCTTTGACAATCAACGTTTTATAGTGCCTCTGGCCACGCCCACATCAATATAAGTGGGCGCACGCACGCAGGCAAACAAAGACAAGCATGTCACAGCAGCACTCGAGCGGGAGAGGGTCTGGGTGAAGGGGGATTGCAAAGTGCATTTTTCAATCAGGCAACAGTCAAAGAGTCTCCTGTAACTCCTTTGATTTGCATTAGACAACAGGCAGCAGCAGCAGCTGGCTGCAGTTCCCTGTCGATAGCAAATACTATTTATAGAACCTGCTCGCAATGCGCCCTAGCCACGCCCCTTTGCTTAACATTTCTCACATTTCCGTGGCTTAAAGCTAACCTGAGCTCAACCTTAAGTACAAATACGCTCAGTTCTCTTGAAATATGCTCATTAATTGGCTTTTTTTCCGAACAGGTTCACAGGGTATACGAAAACAGCATATGCCTCGAGCCTTGTTTATTCTAATTAATATGGCGAATCGTAATTCAATATACGCGTATTTAGCCAGCACACGGAAGCTGACAAGTCAGCACGAGGGCAGTTTCATTAGTTTCAGAAAATATTAGTCGAAACTTAAGTGAAATCTTTCTACATAAAAATGGGTTAGTTCCTGATTAACAAATGGCTTGCGATTAGGTTTAAGGAATCAGTCAACATTCACTTACCTATAGGGTTTTTATGTATTCCCCATACGAAACATATTTCCCATGCTAGATGTATGTTGAATATATACAAGATAGATCCATTGGTATAACTCGGGATCGATGGAAATAGCGGAAGTTGTAGACGTGTTTGGGATAAAGACGATTATGGTTTTCTGAAAATGTTATATACATTTTTTCTATCAATCAATTTATATAAATTAGTTTCATAATTGATGAGTTTAAATATTATAATCTCCCTAATTAAATTCCGGCACTTATCAAGCAGCCCTCGCCCACACACACACGCGTGCTTGTATTTGTGTTGACATTGCGAGTACGATACAAGGGCTAAGCAAGCAATATGTTTGTTCGTCTGTTTGTTTGTTTGTTTGTCTTAAGCTCGTTTCAACCCAACCTTTGGCCTGTTCCTGACATGTGCTTGGCGGGGCAGCAACAACAACAACAACAACAATAAAGCGCACACATGCCGCCCTGCGGCAAAAGAAATGTCAATTAAATTAATTAAAAATCATTTGTGCCAACTGCTAATTGGCATTAAATTTGCGCATTCAGGTGTTTACGAGCGAAAAATGAAAAAGTTTTCAAGCTATCAAAAATTGTAGTTAAATTATGCAAATGCGAGTCAAAAAACCTGCCAACTGCCAACTGGGTCAAATTTGGGCTAAAACTAATGCTATCTCTCGCCTGGGTTGGGATATAAAAACCAAATTTGTGAAAATAGTTTTTTTTTAGATTATAACAGGGGCAAATATTTTGCTGCGAATTAATTTATAAATGGAATTTCGCGTAGTTGCAAAAGCCATCAAAATTGTCTAAGCGCAGTTAAACTAACTAACTAACGTAGTATTACTCTAAAAGCCTTGTACATATTGCATCTATATAGACTCACACTCACACACACATAGCTCAGCTCATTAACACACACACATGCATACACACACACAACTGAACATACACGCACACGAACACACACACACACACACTGGACACACACTGGTTTAATGTACTACGTAACTATTTGTGTTTCTGCACGCCATATCTCGCATAACCTCACAAATGTTATAGACATTACTAAAGTGTGGACATTCCGTCAACTTCTTGCAGCGGGCGGCAGCAGCGGCAACAGCAACGTCCAGGAATTGGACCCGAATACGAATATCAATAGCCAGCCCACAGATACGAAGATCATCGAGCACAGGCCCGGCGGCAGCGGGGAGGTGGTCATCATGAGCGAGGAGGATCGCACGACAAGTTTCTTTGCGCAGCCAGGCATCTTGGCTGGTGAGTAGGAGGCATACATCCCACTTTTGGCATGTTTCCAATAATTGTGATATCTGTTTCGCTTTTGCAGCTGTCATTGGCGGCGCCGTTGTTGGCCTGCTGTGCGCCATTTTGGTTGTCATGTTCATCGTTTATCGCATGCGGAAAAAGGACGAAGGATCCTATGCGCTGGACGAGCCAAAGCGTTCGCCCGCTAACAATTCCTATGCGAAAAATGCGAATAACCGTGAATTCTACGCCTGAGATAATGGCCAAGCGCGCAGGTATTAAGCTGAATGGGAGCAGCAGACAGGATGTGACAGGGCGTGGCAGTCAACAGCAATTGGCACGGGTTCGAATGCGATTAAATAAGCTCAGCTCAATACACTGCGCGAAAATAGCCCATTTGTGGCAACAACAAACTAACAAAACAACAACAGAAACAACAACAGAAGCAACAGCAAACAATTCTTGAGAAAACACACAATTTATTCGTGAGGGGTAACATTTAAACATAAAAGCAAAAACAAAAGAAAATTCGGAAAATTTTCAAACTTACCTGTAAGTTAAATGCGTCACACACCCAACCACCCACACACACACACACACATACATACAACAAGCAGTGTGTGCGTGCGTGCGTGCGTGCGTGCGTGCGTGTGTGTGTGCAAACTTTTCTAATTAAGTAAGTTTTAAGCAAATTGTGTAATACAACAACAACAGCAACAACAACAAAATATCAAATATTATATACAAGCAAAGTAAATCATGCGAAATTTAATATATAAACAAAATTATATATAAATAAATATATAAATAGTGAAGAAAAAAAAAAAAAACAAAATTAAAAGAAAACAAAACCATTATAAGGGCGGGCAAAATTAAGCAAATTAATTATGAATATAATGAGTAGAGCAAAAATTAATAACAAATAAAAATTAATAACAATAATATTAACAACACACACACACAGACACACGCAACTACATAGATGTAAACGCAAAAGTTAGACGAAGAAGAAGAATGCGAGAACTTTTCGTGCATATTGAATATTATTAAATATTATATGTTAGCTGAATACACAACACACATTTAACTAATTGGATGTCACTCGAAAATAAACAAAAAAAAAAACAAATAAACAAACCTTTAAACAACAAGCGCCGATTTGTAAAACACATAAGAATATGTTAATTTTTAAAATTAAATCGAATTACCACAAAGCCCAATTAAAACCTGAATTAAAATAAAAAACAAAATCCGAATTATCTGTGTGGCACATCCGAAATATTGAAATCGATGCATAAATGTTTTTAAGTTTATATACATATTATACATAAGCATAACTATGTAATTATTAGTGTAATTCCTAAACAAAAAACGAAAAAAACTTGAAATAAAAAAAATTACAAAAAAAAAAAAACAAAATAAAAAGCGAAAACAAAGCGTAAAACATTTTCCTGGCAAAACAAAAAGAAAATAAAATTAGAAAAAAAAAACAACACACAAATTTCTACTATTTTCTAAACAAAACAAAATATAAGAAACAAACTTAAGGAAAATATTTATTGCAATTTAAAATGAAAAATGAAAAATGTAATGAAATAAATCTTAAAGCAATTTGTATAATTTAATTAAGTTACGCCAGCCTAACAACAACAAATTGATATATCGTTTTTTACTGCGCTTCACTTAACTTGAGCTGCTTCTTCTTCCATGGCTAAGAATCAAAATCAAAATACCGCATGCAACAATTGTGCATTTATTTAGCTTTACGTTCAAATTGCGCTCTTAAATTGTTTATAATTTTACAAGCAAATACAAAAATAAATATAACATAAACAAAACAAAAAAGAAACCAACACGCAATAGTAAAAGTCTATTATTGTTAAGTTTACAAAGAAAACTCCTGCCCCAATAAATACACACACACATACACACACACAAAATACTGTTAAAAAACCTACACACACACACACACACACACAGACACCCATTTGCAAAGAGAAAACTTAAATGTAGCCGCAATATTTGTTCAAATGTTAATCGAACCCAGCAGAACCTTCACTTTTAACGCTCATATGCCATATTTTCATTATGAAAAGAAAGTTATAAAAATAATTATAATAATAATAGCATAAAATTAAGCCAACTAAATCAATTGTGTGTGTAATTATCATGTGTAAGGCATATATAATTAATTAATTAATATGTAACTAATATATATATGCATACAACTACAGCAGACAGCATAGAAATGTTTAAACAAAAACTATCTCGAAGTCTCATCAAAATACCACGAAAATAAAAAATTAAAAAAAAAAAAAACAATCCACACACGTAAACATACACACACACACACACACACCTAACAAGATGAACAACTGAATGCATTCTGAATACGAATACCAACTTTTTCTACACTGTAAAAAACGCAACTGCAACCTTTTTATACACACATACAATACATATGTACTCGTAGATGTACTACAATTGTTTCACTCACTCTCCCTCTCTCTATCTTTTTTTCAAAACATTTTTTTTATTGCTATTATGTAAGCGTTTAGTTTGTTAGTTTTTTAAATGCGCTGAATGTACTGAGAAATTGGTTTTGATTTGCTAAATAAAAACGGTATAAAACTAATTTAAACAAACCGAACAGTTGTTTAAATCTGGGCGAGGGATAAACTGCAATATAAATCAAGGATAACTTCTTACATGGAATGTATCCCACCTTAAACGATGCTAAAGTCGAATTACTCAACACTGGTGCAACTAGTTTATGGCTAAAGTCAATTGTCTAATTCCTGACATCCCCACAATTTGATATCGACAAAATATATTCACATCTCTTTCATAAACTCTTGAGAGTTACGTGAAGAAAATAGAAAGAAAAAAAAATAGAAAGAAAAAATATTTAATAATAATATTAAAAGTTTACCTGAGAATGCCTGCATTCCTAATGTTTATCCTAATCCCTCGTTGTTGATTATGAATTTGAAGATGTAAAGATGAATGCGAAGATGTGAAGATGTATGTAAAAATGTAAGCGTGTATGTCAAGATGTCAAGATGAATGTGAATATGTTAAGATGAAAACGATGATGTAAAGATGAATGTGAAGATATTACGTTGAACGTCAAGATATAAAGATGCATGATGTAAATATGAGCGTGAATTCGAAAGAATGTGATGTAAGTTGTTTCAACTATTCAATTCCGTTTCGCTGCTCAGTCACTGACTTCGTATATTTTAGTTAAGTTATTTTAAGTGCATCTTTTAACAGTGGAAATGGGATCTTTGGGCCTTGTTCACCCATCCTTGATATGTGGCCATTTACAAATTGGCCTTCATCAAGGGCTTCAGGTAGGTTTCGAATGACTTTTGCACGGGCTTCTGGTTCATCGTGCTGCGCTTGGCCGCATCGAAGAGTCGTGGATAAACATTGCCGTCGTAGCTGCCCAGCACAGAGTTAAGAACGCGATCATGGAAGTCAAAGCCATCGCAGACGGCCACCGCATCCGGGCGGAATTTTTCCAGTGACAGCTCCAAGCGTTTCTGCAGAGATCGCAGATCCTCATCGGTCAGATTGACAAACTAAAAATTGAATAACATGATTATCCAGCTTTAGGGGAAGTACTACAAACAGCTTACTCTCAAGATCTCGTTCAAATTGTTGAGCACAGTCTGCACCAGAAACAGTTCCACCACATTTTCCAGCACCTTGTTTAAAGCGGGCGAGCGTTTCTGTGCCTTGGGTCCTGTAATTTGCGCAATAAACGTTTCACACACAAACTGACGACCATGGAGCTAAGAAGTGGAATTCAAATGGATTAGTTGTGGGAGAAAATAGAGAAAGCTTCACATTTGAAACTTACCTCGGCGGCGCGTGTCAGTTCGATGCCCGTGTTGTTGGTAGCCACAGCCTGCGACTGGCCAGCGGCAATGCGCTCCGATAAGTTCTCAAAGGCGATGCGGGTCTTACTGTAAATACAAAGGTCAATCTTGCTCCAGCAAACGTAATTCACACACTTACTGGGCGGCCGTGTACTGCAGCGCCTGGACAATGCACTGCCAGGAACCAGTCCACTTGGGAAACTCCTTTAGGCGCATGGATGACTCGAAGTAGGCATATGACGAGGAGGGCGTCTGGCCCTGCTTATAACTGGCCCAGGCCTTGACCAGAGCGCGTCCAATCTGTAGCAGCAGCACCGTGTTCTCGCCCTCATAGGTGTACGCAGCGACCGCATTGCCATAGATGTTGCTCAGATTGGCCGCAATGTGATAGCCATGACCGCCCGTGGAGAGACGCAGACGCTCAATGCCCGCACAGCCGTCGGTGGTGCAGAGGACCTTCAGAGCGCACGACAGGATGTGCATGTCGGGCAGGCGGTCGAATTTGCCATTGTTGGCATCCAGCACAGTCTGATCGTACAGCTCCCACATGTGCTCCGCGGCCAGGTGATAGGCCATGCCGGTGGCTATCTCGGGAAACAGTTTCAGGCGCTGCGTCACATGATCTATGATCTGCGGCTCGGGCTGACTGTGCGAACAAAACAGGAGATAGTCAGAAATAGTCGAACCAATTGCGATTCTTATAGTTACTCACTCCGGCTCAATGGGACTCTGGCGACGCACGGCGGAGTAGCGTGTGGCTATGGTGGCCGCTTGTAAAAGCAGCGTGGAGTTCAAGTTGACAATCAGGCAGCGCGTGAAGACCATGGTCAGATAGGTAACCTTCGAGGCGGGGCTGGCGGTGAAGGTGCCATCGCGATCCACCTTGGCGTATTTCATCAGCATGTTGGTGCGTGGAATGCGCACGTTCTTCAGCCCCAGAAAGCCCTGGTTGACCGCAGCCATGCCCAGTTTCTTGCCAATCTCACCAATATCAATGCCCGGCAGCGGCATGTGCGTCTCCGGATCACGCAGCGGCACAATAAACATCTGCACGCCCTTGTGCTTGCCAGCGATGTACAGCTGGGCAACCACCATGGCGTGGTTGGCCGTGTGACCCACTGCGAAGTGGATAGATACATTAATATTAAGATTTATTAGCGTACTCCGTGGAGGTAAAGCACTTACGGCCACCGGGCCACCACTTGTAGGCCTCCAGGTTGGGTGTGTTGAGCACAAATTCACCAGCTCTGGGATCATAGTCAGCGCGCGTCTCAATGCCACGCACATTGGTGCCATGGGCCAGTTCGGTTTGTGCATAGGTGCCAATTATGTTGCAGTTCTCGGCCAGGCTGCCCCACTTCTCCACCTGTTCGGGTGTGCCTTGACCCTTGATCACGTCCACGAACATGGTAATGTGCGTGGCCAGCGGATGATTGGCGGGAAACAGGCCATGGGCGAGCACCGAATAAAGGCAGCCACTGTAAAGGCGTAGGTAAAGAATTACAGGGTATAAAATAGTTGTTTGTAACTTACGGCCAAATGTCTTTGCCGCCAGGATTCAGTTTCTCCTGCAAGGCCTTCAGCTTGGGCGCTGCCTCGGCGACCTTCTTCACAGTCGAGTTGTAGAGATCCTCGTGGGACATGTACTCATGGTTAATGCCATAACCATCCTCCAGATCACTAAACACGGCCTGCTCTAAAGATATAAAAGGTACAAAAGTTAATACACTTTCACTATCTGGCTTCACTATCTGGCTCCAGACTTGCAGGAAGCAAAGTCTGATTCGGTGCGGCCTTTTACACTTTGGCTTGTTGTTT